GGTTAATTGTAAATGTCACAAATAAGTAAATATACAGAACTGTGTCTGGGATCTGCATCAGTGCACAGACACTGTGTACCAGCACTTATAAATATATACTTTGACGTACTAAATCCATACCAATCAGCTTATCTGGACTCACAGGCATCAGGTGCAAACAAACACTTGCATTTTGTCTTTCTAATGTGTTTATCACTACATGCATGGGGCCCTGCACTGAGTCCTTCTCTCTGTTTAATGCCTGTGCTGGGAACAGTGAGAACTGAGCAGCCCTGTTGCTGGTGGCAGGTGCTGCACCTCTAATTCATCTGGCACAAAAACAGGCCAGGAGGGGGAGAGGGAGGGAATCAGATTAGTTGGAGTCACATTACAGATTACAAAGGGTTCAAACACATTGCCTTTCACTGTTGTCAGTCCCCTCTTATAGTCTGCACTGGAGCAGAGGATTTTCAGCACCTTGACAGATTAAACCTTAAGAACACTCAAGCGAACCTGTCACATAGGTCCTTATCATGCAAACTTGAGGCCAAGTTCAGTAGCAGCCCTCTTAGACTTCTGCATTGCAGAGGCCTTGGAAAACTGATTTTCTGTTTTGCCACTGACTTCAGTGGAACCAGGTTTTAGCCCTTAAAGGGGCTAAATTCCTGTGGGATGATAGTTGTTTCTAAAATTCTTAATTTCGTGTCCTTAAATAGTCAAACTTTGAGACAGACTAGGTATGGGTGCAGGATTTGCCGGGTGTTGTTGACCATTGTTGGTTTATTAACTTCCCTGATGGTCTGGGATACCATATTTTTCCTTTGAAAGTGCATTTCAGGCATTTAAAGGCTCAATTGAGAATGTACAAGAATAAATACAACTTTTTGTACTGAACATCAGAGAAGAATTCTTAGGGGAGCTGGTCATTGTTTACAGCAGGAGTGTATTTTTAACAGAAACAAGAAATCTAATCCTTTAGAGCAACACTAATCCGAGGAAAAGCACTTTCTAAAGTGTCCAGAGCTTGTTAAAACAGCTAACACCTAAGGCAGCAGTGTGTCTTTAAGCTCTAATAATATTGTACAATAATAATTTTTGTAGAAGAAAATCTTTCCATCTCTCTGAACAGAAACAAGACATATTATTGACTGCCATCTGGAAAGATGTATGCTCTGGCCCTTGTGAGTCTATTAATATTTGATGCTGATGGATGGGAGCTGCAGCCTGAGTTATTAATGGAGTTTGGTTCCTTGGACCTAGTCCTCAATAAATGGGGGAGGATCAACAATAATAAGAATTATATGCCCAAACCTTTCATGGTGCTAGAAAGGTCTGTAATTTAGTTTTAGTAACAGTTAATATTTCTCAAGTACTTAAAGGTATGGGAGGTCATCTAGTTGGTGGTAGTTACATTACTGCCATCAATCATTTTGATTTAAAGCTGACTTTTTACGGGTCCCAGATCCCCTACCTGTGTTGTTGGTGTGTTGGGATACTCCCTTCAGATTCGCATTTCCCACAAAAAAGAAAAGGCTGATTCCTGTTAGCTTCTGAGTTGCTGTGTGGGGATGTGAGAAACCCTGTCCTCAGTTGCACTGAGGTGCCACCTAACAGACAGGGCCTGGGAAGGTGTAAGGCAAAGCAGAGGGCAGGAACATGCTGCTTCACACATGGAGTGGAGCATCGGATGGATTTCTGGAGTATATTTTTATAAAGTGGCCTTGTAAGTGAAAATTTTGAAGAAAATGAAGCAGTTTTGAAAGTCTGTGATGTCCATATGGATCATTCTGACTTGGAAAATAGAGATGTAAAATACCAAGTTATTTATAGCTAGATTTCTTAATATAGCTTTAACATTTTCAGGGCTATGTGTTTTTCCCATCATGTATACCACATCCAGACATTTCACTACTTTCATTAACCTCCTGATCTTAATATAAAAAAGAATAATCAGCATAAGGAGCACAGCTGTTGATTAATTTTACTAAATAGGGTAGAAACATAAAGTACCATATTGCAAGAAGGAAGATTCAATACACAATGTTTGAGATCAGTTTAATGGAGTATATAACTCATTAACAACTGGATAGACATGGACCACAGCATTATTCACTTGGGCAGGTGGTGAGAGGGACATGGAATTTACATATCTTTAACAGTACCTGAATGCATTTAATTTCATAGGTTATTCTCCCAAATCAAGTTCAAAATGTTAATAACAGGGTGTGCATTTATAATTAATAAAATCTTAGAGCCGGTGCTATAGTTCAAGTGCATTTCCTCTTATGTAATTAAGAAGTTAAGTTATTTGGCAGTTGTCACTCAGAGAGCTGTGAAGCTCTTGCCTGTCAAATCTGGGGATAGAAATCTCATTAAGCCATTTACTTTTTCAGCTAAGGTTTGTTTGCAGAGTAAGTGCATATGAGGTGGATAGCCTGAAAGACCAACCTCTGGTAGTCCATAAAGTCTGTGGTATGCTAAAGGCCAAAACACGAAGGCATGTTGAATAAAGATGAAACAGCCTGATGTTTGGCTTGCACAGAATCACAGAATCACAGATTGGTAGGGGTTGGAAGGGACCTCTGGGGATCATCGTGTCCAATCCCCTGGCAGTGCAGGATCACCTAGAGCAGATCATTCAGCAGTGCATCCAGATGGATCTTTACAGTCTCCAGAGAAGGAGACTCCACAGCCTCTCTGGGCAGTCTGTTCCAATGCTCTGTAACCCTTACAGTAAAGAAGCTTTTCCTCATGTTCCTCATTCCTTCCTATGCTCTAGTTTGCACCCATTGCCCCTTGTCCTATCACAGGGCACAGCTGAGAAGAGATTGGCCCTTCATTCTTGACACCCACCCTGCAGATATTTATAGCAATTAATAAGATCCCCCGCCAGTCAAGTGTATAGGACCTTGTCTTTGGGATACCCAAACTGTCCTTGTCTGACTGCCCTCCATGTAGAGTAATTCTACAGAAAAGCAGTGAATCCACACCAGCCTGTGGTGCACATACTGTGGAGAGCTTAGGACATCACAGGAGCTGATCTTTCATCACAGGGAGTCAGCTGAGGAACTGGAAATCCACCTTCTGCTTCAACCCGTGGCCCAGATGCTGATTTAGTTAATCCGGTTCCCGAGGGGATGTTTTAGCTCTGTGTCACTCTGTTCTACTTCCCTTTTCAAAGGAATTCTCTTTTACTTCTAGATCACAGATTCAAATCCACATAAGGTCAGTTGGCCTTGAAATTATTAGCCATACCAGCAGTTCTTTGTTGTACATGAAATGAGTTGGGAGTTTCATTCACACAAGATACAGTTTTCTAAGTGGCACTAATTGGCTGTCTAATTGTCACACACAGGAGGAAGGCAGAGGACTGATCAGGCGTGGAGACTGAATGTCCCTCTGCCATCCCACTGGCCCAGGGTTCCTGGAGCTCATTCCATAGGCATTCTGGCAGGGTAATGAGGGGCAGCGTGTTTTGGATTATCTGCTTGTCAAGACAGCACCTTTTACTGCCATGCCTTTTCAGGGGAACTTGTTTTACTCCACCAAGGTCAAAGACAGGGTCTTTTACAAACACTGCTTTCACTCAAAAATCAGAGACTTGTAGGATTTACTTTTGAAATGCCACGTATTTTAACCGTTTCTTTTACATCCCCCTAAACCAAAGGTTTTAGTATAAAATAGGATGAGTCATGATGGTGCTAGGCAGAACTGCTACAGAAACCATATGGGGGTTTATGGTGCTCCAAAATCTGTTCATATTTCCTTGTACTGTCTCAGTGCCTGATGCTGTGATATACAGGCTCCTGGAGGTGCTTGCCTTGGCATAGGGTAGCTGACATTTTGTGCATTCATCTCCTGATAAATGGATCCTCCTGTCTAACAGTGAAGCCTCTCACCTGCAAAAATACATTTTGACCAACATCTTTTCCCCTGAGCTATGGTATATGTCACACTGTGCAATGTAGTTACTATTTAACTTTGGAGCAGGATGGCTTTCTCTGACACAGAACTAAATTATTGAAGTTGGACTCACCAAAGAAGTAAATTTAGGAGCTAATCTATGATGTGAAAGTCAAGACTACAAACAGAAGAAAAATGAGCAAAAATACCTTGTATATGCTAATGTGTTTTGACCCCACTGTGGGATTCAGTAACAAAGTTTGAAGAGATGGTGCTCACATTTTAGCTCCCTTTTATATCAGGTAAACACCATTATTAAGAACTGTGTCTTTCCTTTCAGCCACACATGCTGATCAGCACATAGAGTGTATCAGAATTTACTGTTGATATATTCTATATTTCTGTAACATTTAAGTGTTTCCTTTCCCTCACTTTCCCCACACCTAAAGCAGTAACAGGACAGAGACTGTCTGTGTGTGTGCTCTGCTCTGTGTGCCTCCTTAGTCTGGCACATGCTTCACTCCCTGCTCAGCATCACTCCCTGCTCAGCCTTCTTCCTAAAGTCACAATCTCGTGCAAATTAATTGAAAACAAATGCAGGTACCAGCTATGCATCTAAAAGGTCTAATGCACCTGCCATGTAGTTTTCCTCTCTGCTAGTCTGTGGAAGATGAGCATGTACAAGATCCTTTAGCTTTTTAACAACCTTGTTGTTAGAATATATTTTCCAAAAAACACAGAGCAATCTTTGCATGGCTTCAGACTGTGTATTTTGTGATTAGTGTTTTGTAAGTGATGTTTTGCTTAATGATCTAACATCTGTTCTAGGAGGTTTGTTTTTTTAACTTCTCCATCTCCTGCTG